TGGTGGATGTCCTCCCTTGGGGTGGGATGGGTGGGTGTTCACAGGGCCCCATTTAAACTAGCTATCTGCTAAACTGGGCTATCCTGTATAAATATTCGTAAGTACAAATACAAATATTCGTAAATACAAATACAAAACAGTGATCCTTGTTATCCTACCCTTTAAAGAGACTCTGTTTTCAGGGGGTCAGTAACAGTTTTGGTAACTGGGACTTGGTATTACACAACTTCACTTCCCAGGACATTTATATTTATTTAGTTACAAATCAGATTAGTAAGAGGTTTATTAACAAATGAATTGATCAGAGCTGTTATTTAGAGGTTAGATATCTTAATCATTTGAATGTGCAAGTGTAAATGGCATATCGAATTGAAGACTAATGAATTTTGAAATATGTAAGAAAAACTTCTGCTTTGAAAAGAAGATATTTTTGACAAAGCCCTTGACAGACTGTATTTATAGAATAAGGTTGTCAAGATTTTATCTTTATCCAATTTTGTTTTGTTGACATGCAGCTAGACATTGTACCACTTGTGGTGTGCAGATTTGATATAATTGTGAATAAGATTAAAATTCTTTTCTTCAGCAAGAAATTGAGGATGCTTTGGACAAAGTTTGCAGCTACTTACCATCTTCAATCTCTGCTGAGGTAAGAACTATTTTTGTTTTAAGAACTGCATCTCTATCTTAAATTTTAGCTAGCATACTGAAAAATGATAGTCACTCATTTTAGGCCAGCATGATATACATAAAGCACAAAAATAATGATGCATAAATGATATGTGAAAAAACAGAAGGAAGAAGCTTAAATTAATGGGGTGCCAAAAGCAGCAGACTAACATGTGAAAGAAATCAACAAATTACAGATTCCCTACAACAAGAAGAAAAAGTTAGTTATTTGTTGCAGTGAATGCACTTGTTGTAAAGGATAATCATTTTTCTTCCACCATGGATCACACATCTAAGCTACCACATCATAAGAAAACCAATCATTTTTCATTACAAAGATCATGCCTGGTTGATCTCATGATAGGCTCACAGTATGTTATTATTTTCCTTTTTGTTGTAGGCTCTAAAATTGCTCTCTTTTTTGCATCTCTTAGTGTACACAGTTTATCAATCAGTATGGTGATGCAATCTTGCAAATCCTTGCTCAAGAACTTGATCCAAAGGAAGTTTGTACAGCACTTCAAATTTGTACTAGTGAGGTGAAAGGTAAAGGTACTTAAAATGAGATGATGTACATAGCCTGTAAAACCTTAGTCCCTTTCCAACAACATGTATTCAAGTTAGGTTATTTAGTTTGTTTTAATGAGCCTAACCTTTTAAGGGCTTTATGCATGAAAAGTGATAAAATTCCCCAGGAAGTACTGAATATTCCCATGAGACTAAATTCTTCCCATAAAGAAAATTCTAAAGGAATCAATTTTCATCTTCTATTGACTTAAGAATAGTCTAGAAAAATTATTGGGGAGAAGGTGAGAATATGTTAGAGTTGGTGGTTTACTAGAAACAATCTACTTTCCAATCTCTTCTCTTGAAAAAATTAGTTTTTACAAGCTACTCTTAAATTCAAGAAGAAATAGTTTATGTATGTATCTAGCCTGTTTGAATTAACAAAATGTTAAACTTTACATTGTCAAAATGATAATGCCTCCTTGACTGATTCCCAATTGCCTGTTGTTTGTCTTAACCTCTACTGAATGGTTACTTGAAGTTAAGTCCCTTGTTAATTAGAATTCTCTTTAATCTCTCATAATGAGTTAAATATTATATTGATATTAATTTTTAAGAAAATAAGATATTTAAGGAATTCAGATGTAAGCACTTTACAGGAAATAATTTGGATATGGATATATCCAAATTATTTCGTTACTCCCACTGACTCAGCCCCAAACAGTTTCTTTCGAAACTATTAGCCTTTACAGGGAAACTTCATACTGCATTGAGTGTGGAATTCCTCATTTTGATGAGTGGCTTAAGAAGTTGCTCCCTTGAAAAAGAGAGCAATGAAGAGAAGACATTGAGTAGACTGCACTCTTTTTCCAATCCCATTAATGAGAGCAACTTTTCCACCGCTATTCTAATTTAATCTATAGTAACAAATAAATTGTATTTTGAACTGCTCACAACCTAGATTTCACATACTTGGTTGTTTTTTCTCTTTAGCCATGGAGAAGCCAAAGGTCCATCTTCCTAACAGCAATGAGACTTGTAAAATTTGTGAAACTGTCATGACTGTCTTGAAGGTGTTTCTGGCAGACAATGACACTCAGGTACTACTTGACATTAATGTTTACTTCTATCAGATAGATTCCCTGTTACTGTGTGTAATTTTTCAGTAATAGATCAGTTACCATCCATTTAACTATGCCATTATGTGTGATTTCCTGTTTTATAATCCAACTACACATAGACGAGAACAAATAACACCATAGATGAGTACAAATATCACACGGTATTTGTACTTGTCTATTGTAGAGTACCGGTTATACAGGTTTTCTCGCATCACACAAGCGAAGAATTGGATTGTAGTTACAAAAAAAAAAAAAAAGTGGCGGACAATTTGAATCATATTTCCAACAACAAAGAGTCAGAATGGCTGGCAAATATAGATCCACGTTTATTAGATGAATCAAACGAAGAAAAACAGCTTGACGACCAGAAAATTTCTTCATTTAATGAAGAAAATAGAAACAGCAACACAACAACGCGCCAATTCTGTTCCGCTTGGCATACTTCTGTCGCGCACTCCCCATAAATGAATATCCGTGAAATTCGCCCGCACGGAAATAACAGTTTGGCATGTTGGATAATAAATAACTTTTTAGACGTTTTGTTGTGTAGTATCAGAGTATTTTTACTCGTTATTTGTATTTTGACTCGCCCTACGGGCTCATCAAATGCAGCACAACTCATAAAAATACTCAGCGATACTACACAACAAAACATCTAATAAGATAATTATATATATTCAATGAATAATTTGTTGATTTTATGTTTGTTGATTTCTTTCTCAGCAAGAGATTATAAATGCATTGAAAACATTTTGTGGCTATCTGCCAGACCAGATTGCTTCTGAGGTATAAAACAAACTTTTAACCTTTCTTTTACTCTTTTGTTGTATGAGATAGTAATAAGCTCAGTTGTCCGATTTCAATTTAAATAATTCATGGCATTGTTTGTAATCCCTATGACTTGTAACTTAAGTATACAGGTCTCTTGTACTTAACAGTAATATTCAGTCACCTGATTTGTTTTGGTTGAGCTTTAATTTGTTTGTAAACAAAATGGAATTAATTTAGTCTAACAATGGAATTACGTTAGTCTAACATGCCGATAACTCAAAGAATAATTAATTTTTGAATACCCACTAGTGCACTGCAGTTGTTGCTGAGTATGGGCCAGCCATTCTGAATCTGATTGCGGATAGTGATCCTGCAACCCTATGTGAGGTGAGTTTTTCTTTTACAACAAATTTACTTTCTAATTTAGTAGGCACCAAGGCTCTTGGCAACCATTACAAAGGTGGGTGAGTTCACCAAAACATACCCAGGATAAACTCAAAGTTAATATCTAAATAAAAAACCTTTCAAATTTGAACATTTCTCCAACCCTATCCTATCCTTAGCTGAAATGATCTGGTCCACTGGAAAGAACACCACAAAGCATGGGTCTGTCACAACCAAGATAATCCACTTTTATCCAAAAAGCAAATCCTCCTATTGTGACTGATAAGTCATAAAACCTACCATCCCCCCTCCCCTGAGCTTTCTACATGGAGCTATTTGCAACCCATCCTTGAATGGGTTAGTGGTTGGGCTGCATGTGGCATTAGCTCTGGCATTGAGCCCCCTGCATTTTTATCAGCCAGGCTGGTTTGAAGGTGGGCAAAGTGGGATTTTTTATAAAATCCAGTCTTGCCAAATAGCTTTTGCTTTGGTGATATACAAAAAATTGTCATGAATTGCTAATCTTCAGGCAACAAGTTTCCTTCATAGTCTGCCACTTTTTATGCTGTTGCAGTTGTTTACTCAAAAGAGCTCAACTCTTACTGCTTATGTGGTTGAAAATTTGCATTTTCTGCTGAACTATACTAAGTAACAAAACTCCTCTTTCAGGAAATTGGATTATGTTCTGCCTTCAATAAAGTGGCATTGAAAAAGGAGGGCAAATTCTGTTTCCTTGGTGCCTCATACTGGTGTCAAAACAAGTTCAATGCAATCCAATGCAATGTAAGTCAAGTGGAGCAATCTATGCCCATTTCTTGGTAGAAGTTTGCCAAAAATGAGTTTGAGTTTGTCAGTTTGTGTTGGTTAAAGACATTTCAAAAGCAGATTACCCATATGGTTCTTCCGTGCCTTCAAAATTCCTACAGAATTCTTTCAACCTTCCTTTATTATGATTAGAGAAAATTATGAATGATCTATCAATCCTCATCTATTGGCTTCTTTTGTCATTAATCAGAATTTAGATTATTTTTACAACTCGCTATTTTTTTCTAGCATTACAACTTTTTAGCCGCTTATGATTAACATGTGATAGGAATGAAGTAAATACAAAAGAAACATTCAACTTGTCTCAAGACCTTGCAAAGTTACAGAGAAGTGGATTCTGACTTTGTAACTCTTTTGAACCAGGTTAGATAATCAAGCGTAATGTAGTATCCTTTTCAATTCTGAAGCAAAAGTGTGTCTCTTTTATCTTCCCAGGCTTTGAAACACTGCACAGACCATGTGTGGAACTGAGGCAAAACGTATTCAAAGAAGAGAGCCTTTTGCTTCAATTTTTTTTGTACTGGTGATTAAAAATTAGAAGTAGCTTATTGCTGCCTTATTCTTTCCCTTCAGAGATTGAACTTTCATACATCATTTTCTTTTAGGATAAAGGTTAAGATAGTGCAGAAAATGCCTGTGTGATTCCTATCTCTCAATGATTCGCGCGGAGGTTATATTCTTTGAATTTGATATTTGTTGAGGCAGCAAGCCAGCTCTCGTCGCCATGGGTGAGGAGCTACTTGCCTCAGCCTTTTGGTAAACCTTTGATCTAATTAACTACTGTCGTCGCTTAACCACTTTTGCATGTTTTGTGCAGCGCTTGTTCTTAATGACATAGTGACATCCAAAAACAGTCGAGGGTGTTATGTTGAGAACAACACTCGGAAATAAGATTCCACTGCATTATTTTTACGATAATTACCTTGTAATGGAAACACCACGTAGTTTTTTTATTTGCCTGAAATAAAATGGCAATGCCGCTTTTTTAAAAGTTTTTTGCTTGGTGTCTTTTGGGGAGGCAGATACCACCCTACGATACAAAACGTGCTCTAAGATCAGACTCCAACTATTTAAGTCCGCCAGCCCTTTCTCCACCGGACAGACAAAGCAATTTTCAATGGATATTCGAAAGTAATCCAGTTTATGTCCACTGATTTTACGTTCTTGGAAATCTCTTGCACATTTCTCCTTCTACGTTTTTCTTGCACCAATTTTCTGAGCTCTGTTCAAGTCACTCAACGCGTCTGTGGTGAAAATTCACCGGCGCTCCTACAAGGCCAGGCTCTGCTTTCTATTTCAGCTTAGGTCTAATATAAACCCTTTTCGATGTCTGATGTTCAGTGATACAATGCTCCCCCTTTCGTTAGGCTCTTTGAGTGTGCGTCCTCGTGCTTCTTGCGTTCGTAAGAGTCCGATAGACTCTGTGGTGTTAGCTGGGATGTCGACGCCAATTTCATCGGGGCTTTGGTTAGCTTTCAGCGCACGATCGATTTATCCTATCTCTGCGCCATAATCCGACAAATATTTCTTGCTTTGGAGACGCGTTTTTATTAAGTAGGTCTACATCAGCCTTTGGCTGCCCTATTCAAACCGACTCAAGTAAGGTATGTATGGTTATATGTATTATCTTCATTTTACAGCTTGTAGATGACGTAACAAACTTCCCCGACCCAGGCCTCAAAATGAGCGGTCATACAAAAAAAATTGCGCTTTAATCACTTGTAGAATTGCACAGTTTTCAGCGATTGTGATAATTCATGATTTGGTTTGCCCTGAGTTCGAGTGCTATCTCTCAATCACTTTTAGATCCAAAGCGGATAACCAATTGCGACTTGGTCACGTCGCGGTCTCCCGCGCTTTAAGCTGTTTGCTTGTTTTAAAGTGAATTTTTACTGGCTTCTTATGGCTTTTCCTTTAAATTTTTTTTTGTTTTTGTTTTTTTTTGAATGGCTGTTGTGATAACTTAGGTTTTGGTTGTATAACACTCAGTCAAAAGTATTCTATCGAAGTAAAGTATCGCTAGAAAATCCGCCTTGAATATAGGGGGTTATTGTCCGAAATTTACTTCGAAAATGTCGAAATTAAACCGCTCTTGCAAGCCGATAATTTGCCCCTTCTTTGGCCGGCGTTCTCGTGATGGCCATTCACTCCAATCATCAAAACTGCCCTACAACATAAGATACAATCTGCCGTTTGAATCCAAAAATCTACATTCATGATCCACAAAAGTAGCAACATTCATTAGTACGATCTAGAATACTGGTCTGTCTTGTTGCCTTGTGGCGTTTTTAAACGACTGAGGTTGCATTGTCTGTTTTATAGCACAGGTCCGGAGTGACGTATTGAATGTTTGTCATTTGTAACCGAGGTAAATTGAAATCTTTTTCACGCTGATAATAGCTTAAACTATTTAGACAAAAAAAAAAATTCTGCTAGACTGGTGGGGGCAAGTTTTTTCCTTAACTTTATTCACTAAGTGAAGCAATGTCTTGCCCTGTGTGTCTTGCAGTCTGGCTGCGATTGTGACCACGTTGGTAATTGTGATCATTTAATTAATTTTAATTTAATAATAAGTTCTTATACAGCGCATTAAAATTGAACTCTATGCGCTTTACAATTACAATTAACAAAACTTCAATAAAAATCCAATACATGTAATTTTCGCTACTCTATCTAAACTAATGAATTATTTGAGCAGTATCCCATACTGAGATGTCGGGCTTTCTTCTGAAGACTGCCCTTAACGCACGGTCTTGAGGGCGTTCGATTTTCCTGCTGTCAGAAGCCTTGCAAAAATCCATATTAAATGGCAGTAGGTAAGGTAAGGTAAGATAGAAGACTTGTGTATGGTCACCTTAGCTGCACAAGGAATGAGATTGCGCAGCCGCACGAGGATCCGGCCCCCTTTTTTGCTAGCCTTCCCACACAGTTCACTGATCAGATCACTAAAGTTGATACTATTGTCGATGTGAACGCCAAGTCATTTGATATGGTCTAGGTTAATTACTATACCTTTCCGTCCATGCAAACGTTGGTAAATTGTCCTTCAGGGTCAATGTTTTTAGGGAAGAGAATCATCTCGGAATTTCTCAGGATTTGCAGATGGGTAGTTATCCCTATACCATTGTTGTTACCTTTTTGTTTTTTGAGTCGGACAAGTTGGTTGTTGAATTTTTCAGTTAGCGTTGTTACGGATTCCAAAGGCTCATACGTTCGAATCATAAAATTGATCTCGATTGTGAGCTAAGAAATAAAGTGTGAAATTAGCGACTACAACCACGACGCAGCTCGTTCCGCTCCTTCTTGCTCCAAAGCTTCCCTTACGGCTTTAAAATTAGGTGCTGAGGTGTAGATTTGGTGGTCATCAGCCTACATCGACATTTCGTCAGTAGATGTGGAGCAGGGCAGGTTAATCTGAAATATATTCAATGTCCGATGATATTCGGGTCCGATGATATTCGGGTCCGATGAAAGGCAAAGAGAGTCGAGCGCCTTGCTCACATCAGTGTATAAAATACATACCAACCCCTTTCTACCAGGAGCCCATCACGGTTCCTGCTTTCTACCTATTGTCAATTTCCAGTCCTCAATCAAACATTGTAGGGTGGCCAGTTTCCCAACCTTCTTTTTCTGTATGCCGTGCTTCGCTTGAAAAAGATGCGATCAAGTTTTTCAGACACTCTTTTACTGAGCAACTGTTCAAACACTTTATCAACGTTAATTTAAGAAATTATCAGTTAGTAGTTTTTGACCTCCTGAGTATCACCAGTTTTGAAGGCAGGTGTCCATATGCCCATTTTCAAGTGAGTTTTACAAGGCAGTTCACTTTAACAGCAGTCAGTGTTTTCCAAATAGATACACTGAGAGTATTTCAATAAAGCAACCATGTGTCTTTTCCTGTAATTTGTATCTATGTGAATATAGTCTGATGGGGAAAACTTTGGAGATAATGAAATTTGCATTATCCTTCCTATCTGCTGATTTGCAAACATTTTAGTCTTTTTAAAAACCCGTGCAGGACACTAGTTGAGTTTTTATACGATACAGTGCTTGACAACAATTCCTAGCTGATCCAGGTGTAGCTTTCGCTCTTAATCCGTGTGTAGCGTTACAAGATAACGTTCAAAAGAAAGGGAAATCGCAATAACGATCGCATTACGATCACGATCTCAATCGCAACCACGTTAAAAAACTGTTTTGCAAACCAAAACGGTTACACGAAGGTAAAACTCTCTCCCAAAATCTCGGAGCACGTGCAATCCCCTAGAGATTGTCACGTGACACGCAACAAACGTAAAACGGGAAATGAAACTAAAGCGGAATTTCAAAAGGTAGGAAATCTTTTTCTTTCCTATTATCTCGAGGCGGACGTCAGAAAAGCACAAAATGGCACCCATAAAGACAGAAAGAAGACTACATCTTCAAAGTGAATCTCAGAGTTGTTCATTCGACACCACAACTCTTCCAGAGCTTGTTGCAGAGCATATTGCAACCTTTCTGGACGGCAAAGATCTAATAAACCTGGGGAAGACCAGTAAATTCTGGAATGAAATATCCAGGAAAAACTTCATTTGGAAAACTCTTGTCGAGAAACGGTTTGGACGGCAGGCAACTTCCGAGTATGGTAGTTCTGAGGTAGAATACAAAAAGTTGTTTTATAAATTGGCTGCAAGCGCGGTTAAGAAGCCAGCTACTGCTTTTCAAGTCGTTCATCTAAACGGTAAATACCTGGAAAAAGCGAAGGATAGTGAGAGCGAATTTGGAGAAGTCATTCAGCTCAATGCTGTTTGTTGGCTAGAAATCGATACAAATTTCATTGGTGTTCTTCCCGGAAAATACTCACTCGTGTGGCGTATGAAACTTGACGGAGTGTACGTTAATACGGAGGCACCGATATCGTTTCGAGCAAGACCAGAAAAACCAAGCTATGGAACTGAAGTCTGTTTCAGTTGGAAGAGTAATGATTTTCTGGAAGCACAACGTTTGCATGGCAGGGGTAAATGGTTTGAACAGAACATGGGCAGTTTTGAAGTCACAACTCCATGCAAAGTATATGTAGAGATCACAGCGAGAATAACTCACTGGTGTGGAGGCATATCGTGGGATTACGCGGAGTTAAGGCCACTCACTTAACAGTTACCCCTCAACAATCCATAAGGCTCGCCACATTTGAGTACACACAACCACCGAACAAATGAACAGAACTTTCTGTGGTGAAAACTGAGTATGGATATTTTTCTTAAGACTGAGTACATTAATTATTCGTCTAAGACTTGGATTTTTCACAGATCCCACTATCTTTCTTTTTCTACTTTCTGTTTCTCACAGCCTGCGCGGAGGTGCAACTGTCTTACAGGAAACGCGAATGGCAAGCAGTAACCGTAGTGTAGCTCTGTAGTGATCATTTCTGATAAGAGCTACGAGAAATAAGGTTATACTTTTCAATCAGTTAATGTCGAGATGTTTTACCCGAATTTTTCGATTTACTGTTGTTGTGACGAAAAAAAAGGAAGAAAACAAACGATTCAGGTTCTATTTTTATGGTCGGCTAGTGCATTGAGTCTTACGATTTAAAAAAAGGACAAAAATCATCGCTATTGTATTTCACATTGCTCATCAAAATCGAAAAAAAGCGAAGCTTTGCGACACTTTGACATTACGTTTTTTTTCTTTATTTTTAAGATGATGCAACCCATGTAGGCTTGTATTTTGTTCTGGTCGTGTAATTTGGGTTTCAGCATAATCCTTTATTATACGTGTCAAAGAAGCCGTGAGTTCATTAATTGGGAAGTAGCTTTGGATTGGAATATAATCCTCTCATCACCAAATACAAACGAACTAAAAAAATTCAACCGTACTTACTTTCAGCATGCCAATGCTCAGGGAAAAATATTCAGTTTGCGAAAAATCTCGTGGTTCAAAAATGAAATTGTAATCTTTGAACAGTGTAACTTACCAACGAAAGACCTGTCATAAATTTTCGATTTAGACTCCTCGGGAAAACTTGTCAAGGAAAGCATCAGGTTACCAGGTAGTCCATGGGAGTCACAAAGACAGTGGAAGGTCTCTTCTCTCTCGATTCAACGAATCATTTATTTTCTTGTTGTTCGCCTATTTTCATGCGTGTGACGGTATGCAAAACAACGTATGTAAGAAAGGAAGGTGGATTCGGTAACATTGCTGCTTTTCTATTGTATTGCATTTTCATGTTTCAGTTTTGAGTAGATTCTCTGTTTCATTCGTATTTGATATTTTGAGGTACGAACGAAAATAGTGAAAATAATTTTATAAGAATAATTTTGAGTTCCAATCATCATTGTTGTTATCAAAACAGAAATAAAAAATAAGAGGAAAGAGGAAACGAAGCAATTTGAATCGTCCTCGTGATTGATGGATTGACTCCGATAAATTCAAGGAAGCTTGTGCATAATTACTAATTCCAGCAATCTGGCGGGAAAACGTCACGGGAGAAATGTCACGAAAGGACAAAATAAGTTTGTGGGAATACTCACCTAATCAGGACCAACTCTCTGATATCCTGGTAAACACAGCAGAAGGTAAGGGGTTATTTTTTATAGGGCACACCTGTTTGTTAAAATGACTATAGTCATGAGCGAATCTCGGCAATCACAGTTTGTTTACAATTTACTTGCAAGTCACAGCTGAAGTTGCCTACGGTACATGGCAAAGATGAGGGTTGATTTTTCTTTTCTGTCTATGTGGCGTAGCGAATTTCTAAATATCATGTTTTATTATTAAATCAAAATTTAAGCTGTTTAATTTTTCATCCCCTGAGGTTTTTTACAACTGTGTTCTTGAGACAAAGAGTCTCAAAAGTTACTTGCTCGAAAGTCACGAAACATTTTCCAGCCCTCAACATTTCACCTGAACAATACTCGTACCCCCCTCTACTCCAAAATTAGAAATCACCTGAGAGTTTAGAAGAAAATATTTGTTGATCGCACTGATTTAAAGCTTATTTTGCAATTTTTCCCAGAGTTTTTAGTTGTGATGGTCAAGAGTTAATTAAACTGCTTAATAAGATTATGTCATATATTTCAAGAGAAATTTATGGTGGTTGTATTGATTTTGGTTGAAAAATTTTAAACAAACAGTAGAGATTGCAAGTAATTTCTCCATACCAGTTCGCTCAGCGCTTTAGTGCTGTATCTCGTGTTTGAAGTAAAAGTTCAGGCTCGATGTGATGAATGCAACTTGGCCATACATACAAAAATGGAGGGTTTTATTGGCATGTGGGATCATCTTGACGGATGAACAAATTTTCCAGCGTAAAGAAGGGCTAAATCTACGAACTGTGGCGTTTATCTTGGGGTCGAAAACATTGTTCTACCTGCCGCAGAACGGCTTTTACGGCTAGAAGCGAGAAGGACAGCGGTTTTGGTGCATTCAAGATTTTTTCAGGCTTTTTCCTTGAATGTTTGAGTTTTTATCGGGGCACTGATTTATTTATTGGTGCACAGACGTTCATTTGTGTGCTTCTGCGGCGAGCCATATGCGGCGATTTACCTCTCATGCAGTTTTGCTTTTATTTATGATGAACTGAGGTAATCGATTCACTGACAATGGCCGTGGTCCACTGGTCTCGTAAACTCTGGCCAAAAGTTTGAGGAATTTTGGCCATTACTGGATTGAAGGTTTATTTCACTGGAAGTGCCATCACCTTTCAAGATAATTTGGACAATTTCTTCACCGAGAAGCGTGGAAAAGTAGATATTTTTTATTGTATTTAGGATCTGTTGTATGGATCGGCGAGAATCCGTGATTGGTTCACGCGCGTAAGAGTCGAAATTTAAAACTCCCTCCTTTTTACTCGTTCCACAGGCTTTGTGGCATAATAGTAACAAAGTTTAATCGAGGAACACGATGTTTCAACCGTCGCACTTTCAAAAAATGGCCCAGCATTTGGGCATTGACTCTCTGTCCTACGAAAAGGAATACAATGGATTTATGACAAAGTTGAAGAACTTTCATGAGTCTAAGGGGTAAGATGAGGGAAAGTTTAGAGGCTTCTTGTTCAATAGTTTCTGTGTTGTTGCTACAAAGCAGGACATTTATTCTGTCTTGTGCCTTGTCGTCTAGGACGCCGTTTAGACGATTGCCGTGGTTAGGAGGGCAATATTTAGACTTGTACCTCTTGTACCGTAAAGTAACTTCAGCCGGTGGCTGGGTGAAGGTAGGTTGTCGAAATTCCCGCGTTTTCTTCCAATTTTAAACTCTCAAACCTCATATTTTTACGTTTAAAGAACCACTGAGGTATGACTGAATCCATGTTTATCTATTTTTTAGGTTACAGAGGAAAAAAGGTGGCGAGATATTGCTGAAGTTTTTAATTTGCCGCCAACATGTACGAACGCTGCTTTCGCTTTACGACAACACTACTCTCGGTAAGCGATGTTAAAACCTCCAATTGCATGGACGTTTTGGCTATTTAAGAGTTCAACCTTCTAATTTATTGACTCTTGAGTTGAAAAATGAACGTAATGCTCCATCTGGACAGTTTAAATGTTACAATTTGGTTTAAAATGCAAGACCATTTGAGGTGACCATTGAAACCGATTCATGTATGGTCCTGTTATGAGAGCATGAATTAAGAGCTCGTTTGTTGGGGGAACTTCCGTTATCCTTAATAAGTATTTACCTTTACCTTTTTTCAGGTTAAGCTAAAATTAACTCTGTTTGTATATCACCTTATGGAATTTTTGACGTTGTGTGAAGTTAAAAGGGAGAACTTTATAATTTCCTTGTTGCTGGGGATGTCCTGGCCTGCTGTCACCAAGATTGTCTTATTTGAACGTAAACGACACGTTTTTCTCCATATTTCCGTACTCTTTTACGTTATTTTAACATGGGTTATTTCTGGCGGCTTATTTCCGGTTCCCCAGATTTAAAGCATCACTTTGCCCTCCACTACATTATATTCTGGTCAAAAATTGATTTGAAAAAAGCTAAACAAAAGACTTTCGTTGTCCCTTTGTGCGTGGTTATGTTTATTGTGACCCGTCAGATCGAATTTCTGTAGTGGTCATACTAAGTCCGCCGCGTGAATATGTCATAATTCTCGTTGTTCGACATGTCGATTTTCTGTTGCTGAGGGGAAAGTATTCATTTGATCGGCAGTGCAAGCCTTGCAAACTGTGTCAGGAGCATTATATTTCATTATGCAAATGAAAACGTGCTACTTTGAACAATTATTGTCTTGAGGCAGAAGTCGAACATCTCGTTACTTTGTACAGTTAAAAATACACTATGTTGTAGAGTAAATTTGTTTCAGATAAATTGAGTGAGTAAATGTTTTGTTGGGGGATCCAGAATTTTACATCTTAGTGGGTTATTGTAGGCCTGTAATCAGTTAAATTTGTGACAGGCTGACCAACTTCCTAGGTGAAGAATCTGTACCTTATGAAAGAAATGTTGATGAAAAATGATCTCACTTTTGTGATATAGACAAGGTCATCCCACCACAATCATTATCCATTCATCTATCGCGTAAAGGTGCTCCACTATGTAGGAAAGACATTCAATAATTGTGTTGTAATATGTATATTCACTCTGACTAGCTTTCTGTTATTCTTATATTGCAATGTTTACATTTAAAATGACAGATCCCCTATTAAAACTCATTATTTTTATCATTTTGCATTTTTCAGGGATGTGGTCTAAATGAAATTAGTTTTATTTAATGTATTTTCTTAAAGGCAGAGTAAAATAATCTGTTGCATGGATATTAAGACACATCTAGCATAAGAAACTGATGATGAGGAATTGAAAAACCTATTCTTAAATGAAGCATATCCAAGATGAAAAAAATCAGTTACACACATAGACTGTTGATATTGATTTTCAGCTAAACAAGTTGAGTCTTCAAGTTTAGCAATTGTTCTTTCCTCCACAACTATTTGCTGATCATTACTTTCATAGAAGTTTATTGGGAAGATCCTATTTTGTAATCCTATTTCTCCTGTCTACTTTTAACAGGTGCTAAAGAATTCAATATTAAAGATGTTAAGTCCACCTTGTTACATTGTTATGCACATCAGGCATAAAAATGAGTGTTGACTTTGTTTTTATTGATTTGTGTACATCATTTGTTTCAGTTATTTGGAAAGCTTTGAGAGAATTAACTTCTTTGGGGAAGATGCAGAGGATGTTCTAGCAGCTGGAAGACCCCATACACCAGTTGGAGGAGGTACATCTACTCAACATGTTCCTTTAGTGGCAACAGCAGGTAATAATGTAATATGCCTTAGTTGTGCAATTGATCAAAATTGGATTTTCCAGTTTGTCGTGTTTCTGTGGTTCAGGGGTTTCATTAATTTTTTCAGCAGGAGAGCAACTGGTTTTCACAGGCGGGCAAAACTTTTTGAACTAAACTTCTTTATAAGATAAACCCTCATCCAGATTGTTAAAACAAGGTGGGCAAAACCATCCTTACAACCGGTCAATTTGGCCGGTGCCTGGCCCTTCATGAAACCCCTGGTAGTTGTTATTTTATTTAGGATATTATGTAGAATTTGACATGTAGAATTCAATGACCCATGAAAAATGAATGTGATTCAAATAGTGACAAGATAATTTCCATTTAAATTTTGATGAAACTTTGGTTAGCAGACCTTGTCAAATAGGTTTGTTTTTTTTTTTTTTTTTTAAGAAAAAGTAGTGTGGAAACGGAAATAGAAATTCATGTAAATGTGAGACCTTTTTACTTTTTATTGCTTTTAAAGATGTAAGGAAATTTAACATTCTACAAAGTATTGATTAGTCCTCAAATTAAAGCTGACTTACATAGTGAACTTATTGAACACATTTTCATAACAGTCAAATGACTCATGACTAACTATAGTATACTCAGGGGAAGGGAGATGATTGGTTCAGAGAGTGAGTTAGTAAGCCCCAGTTGTTTTGGCATTTTAAGGTTTAGTTTTTTGCCTTAAATCTGTGACAATGAAGATGTTAATTTGAATATGATTTTTTGAGTGTCACAATAAAGCAAGGATTAGAACTCTTTAACTTCTAAAACCAGGTGCTTAGCTCACTTTTTGTTTTTTTCTAGATTATATTTCAGTCATTTCCACCAGTAAAGGTACGGTGTAATCTCATTTAAGTGGAAACCTTGTTAAACAAACAAATACCATTATGATTTGACATGTAGCACTCTGGCACTTATTTAAGTCAGGGTCTTTTGAAGACACAGCTTCAGCTGTGGTGCTTTCCCACCAATAACGTAGCTCCATTTTCTGCCTTTAAAAGCACACACAACCCACAATTCCTCTATTCGCTCCAACGAAGGGCTAACGCTCGAAACGTCAGCTTTTGTAATCATTATGGTGGCCAATTTACCACTTCAACTTTGTTGATATATCCAAGTTATACAGCTGTATTAGGATGGCAGTCATTTGGAATTGGATTTTCCTCTCTGTTTTCAAAAATTGTAACTTTTTTTAAGTGAAATGGTTTGCTAAGATTCCAATCATTTCATTTGAAAAATAAATTGTGTTAGAAAATTGTGGTCTTTCATGGAAGTAGTAGTGGTGTAATGTGCCATGTGAGTTAACAGAGGGAAATTAATGGCTTCTGAGACTGATTTGAGGAACTTTTGTTAATTAGTAGTTACGGTAAAGTGAATTTTAATTTTTTCTTCATCAAATGTGAGAATTAAGTGTGGTCAAGACTAATTGTTTTTCCCTGTACTTTATACTTTCAACTTTTCTATGCTTTTAACCTCCTTAGATCCAAAAAGAAACTTTGACAAACTTGTCCTTTCTCTTCAATGTGGCATGCCAAATGAAGTAGATTTTGCCATCAACATTTGTATGCTGTTGTCAAATGTTAGCAACTCAGTGTTTAATCTCAGCAAGGTAGGGATGAAATCACTGTTTGGACAGTGGTAGTCACCACCAGTAATAAAAATCCAATTATCCAATAAAGTTTAATGTTTTGCCAGTGCTTTTCAATTGTGTGTTCTACAGTGAAACAATTAATTAATGAATTATTTAATACTGACCTGTTTTCAATGATTTCCCAACAATCATGTCCTACTGGCTTGAGTATAGAGTGCAAACCCAGTGTAAGAAACCCTGGTTTCAGATTCAATTCCTTTAGGATGACAAATACCTTTGAAGTAAAAGTCCATCCAGGAAAACTTCCTTGAGAGAATCTCTTCATATAACTTACAGGGAAAGCAAGGGAGTGATAGAGATAAAAAATTCCCGATTCTACATGTAGGTTTTTATACTGCAGCAGTTGAGTTTGATGTTTAGTACAAATATCATTTTGAAGTAGTTGTAATTACATGTAATCTTACCAGTATGCTTAAGATTATGAGCAAAACTGTCAGGAGTGGTATATCATTTACTTATTATGATTTTAGGCACCTGCAGTGGTGGATACATTACTTGCACACATTGGGGTATTTTCTGAAGGTATGTAGCTCTAGCTTCTTATATTTTTAAGTAATTTATTTTCCACCCCCTTTTTTGGGCTTTTAAAAAGAGCTAATGAGTGACACTTTGTAAATTCACTATTTGCTTATCTCAGTAATTATGTATGATAAAGGAGCTAAATGTTTTGAATGTAAGTAAAACAAGCTTCACTGCTAGTCTTAAAGCTCCTATTGTTTGTCTTAAAGATTCCCATGGACTAGGAGAATTATATGAACAGTGGTATGCAAAACAAGATATGGAGAGAGATTTTACCAGGGTAAGCTTCAAACAAAGTCTTGAACATTGCCAGTGACTTTGCCATGTTTGTGTTTTGTTTATTCATTATTCCTAATTAAAATTGAGGAAGTTTATCTTGAAGACAAAGTATTCATAGAGCTGCTATTTCATTAACATAACTGCAATTGAGGCAAAAACTACTTATGTCGAGAATTGGAGAATAGTACAAGAAAAAGTAAAACAGGGACATTTGTATTCTCTTATTCACAACTTTCTTTATTGAACAATGCAACAGAGCAAGAGTTGCCTGATCATTTTATTGAATTGTACTTCTCTACAGTTTTGGAAGGAAGGTTTAACTGTGAAAGGGGTTGAGGACATTCTATGTAGTGACTGTGGTATGTGTCAAATCATAATAAAAATAATGATGCTATTAATACTGATTAAAGTGAGGAATAAATGTTTGTCCATCGGATGTGACATTTTATGAGAAAGCACTCTGAAAGTTTCTCCTTCAGATGGTTGAAAATTATAGCAACAAGAAAGAGAAAGCTTTAAGAGTCCAGTCAAACAGGTTTCTTTAAAAACTTGTGTAACTGGTGGCAATAATTTTGGAATGGTCTGATGAGTATTTCGAACCCTTAAGCCAAAACTCCCAACAGTGTACAAAACATTTTCATGAAGTACAGTACAGCTAAGAGGTAAGTGAACAGTCCCTCAAAACTTGATCCTCTTTCCTCAACTTCCTTCCAAGATCTTTTCTTTCCTAAACTTTGAGGATAGAGGCTCGAGTCAAATTTTGAGATGTTCAAGTTGAGTATTGAGACCCCCAAAACAGGGAAGAAAGGAGTTTTTGTGGGATAAATTTTTCACGCAATTTGAAGTTTCTTACCTAAAGTCCAATCAAGGAGATAAGATTCCTTACAATGTGCATTGTTGCCAATGTGGCGAAACTTTGCTCAAACTTTATTTATAAATTATGTACTTCTGATGTTTTGGACAATAACCTTGCAAATAGTATTATTTTACTGTATGTGTAACCCTCCTCTTATCTCAAGCAAATCTTCATTGCATAACAGATTTTGTAACATCACCACTGAAGTGTTTTTCAGATATATTAGATGCCTGAAACAGGTTGGATAAGTATTCCCCTTGTCTTGCCAGGGGCTCAATAACAAACAGCAACACAAGCAAATTCTGTGATCTTTCTTTTCAGGTGATGAAACTACAGACCAGGAATCTCTTTTTCACCCTTCCAGGAAGAAAATTGGTGCTAAAGATGTTGAGTGCCAAAGAATTTCTCAGGTGCTGGACCAAGCATTTATCTCTTAATCTTATTTATTGGGTACTCGGAAAGGCAAGATAATGGTACAATTGTCTGGTCCTGTGTATGAATGTATTTTGGATCCTGCTCCTTAGTTGACTTCTAAATTTAAGTCAAGTTAAGTTAGAAAATGATTATTTGATTGCGCATAGATTTTAATGAAGTGGCTCTAGGACTCAAAACAATGCTAAACCTGTCGCTAAAATAAGGGTTCCTATTTACATGCACGTGAAATGAAATGCCACCTGTTATGGTGTTTCTCGATACTTGGTAGTTCTGTGAAAGGGACTGTTACTTTATTTCATCTCCACTCTAGCCCATCTGTTTCCCTTCGTGTAATAGGTGTAAACAGTGGAGAAATAACAAGCAGTGATGTTATTTTGAGTGTTTGCCTTCTTCATGATAAACACTCCTCTCTACATCACAACACCATGACAGCTGATAAAATTATGGCCCAATCTCTTTCCAACTCATCGATGAAACATCAAGTTATTTTTTCTGTACTCTATTTACAGGTTGGCATGATATTTTACAACTTCTCCTTTGATAGTGCTAATGCCGATGTGCTTGCAAGCCATCCATTGTGCTTGAAGTAAGTATTGGCAGTGTTTCTGGACATCAAAATCAAGTAAAATGTCTTGAATGCATCTTTTCTTCATGTCAATTGTACAAATTTAATCTCCTGATAAGTGATAAGACTAAAGAGAAGCAGGAAATCATAACCATAAGTTATGGTCTCCATCATTAGTTATATTGTGTAAGCCATTTTGTCAAAACTTTTACAACAATGATGTTGATACAAAGCAGAGAAGAAAAGAAGAAACCCAAATGAATATTTCTTTCTCTCCTCTAGGTTCCTTGTGCTCTGTATTTGCAGTAATCATGGATTTCTGCAAAGAATGGCATGGGAAACTCTTTCAAATCTAGCAGAGAAGGTAAGCATCCAAATCAAACATGTACATCAAATATTGATTCAGTAAACCATTTGTAGGTTCAACAATTGGATTACTTTCACTCAGCTTTTCAAAGCAGTCTATAATCAGGATAACTGAACCCTTACCTAGCTTATCAGTCTACCATATTTACTTATTTATTTTGACTCTCAAAAGAAATTTGTTCTTCTTTATCAGATGCTAATGGACCCAATTGAGTCAACAAATACACAGATGTTTTTTCAGATGCTGCACTGCTTTTTAGATCACAAAGATCGTTACCATGCCATCAATGGTAAGTGTATATCATGAATTTGCAATTCTCACAATAGGGACTGAAGTAATGTCATTTGTGGTCACAGAAAATCACTCCTTGGAATGAATACTAACTTCTTTTCATGATGGTCTATCTTTATCAGCCATGGATGTTTTGGGCAAATTGTGTACCCTGGAAAGAAATGATGAGGTTATAGAAGCTGGCCTTGAACCTGAAGCATATCAGTCACTCATTAAAGTTCTTAGTATCAGTGATGTTCAGGTAATCTAAGGACTCATATTATTTTATTTTAGTGCCCCTTTTATGATTCTAGTTCAAGGGAGAATATTGAGTTCTTTTAATCACTTTCACCTGTAGCTTGGCTGCAGTGATTTGTGGCACTTACATGTATGAGTATATTTTAAGCAAGTAATCTGTGTACTTTGTTTTTTGTTAAACTGGTGTAACGTCTTATAATATAGTCACCAGCTATCGCAGTTTACAAAGGCAACTTTAAGCTGAGAGAGTTAATTAGACAGTAGCTATGCACTGTGGACAGGTACAGTAATTACACAGACCTTGAAATGCTGTGATTTCTTTCAGTTGGTTCTTTCTTCTCTGGAATCACTCTACAATTTGTCAGGAGTAGGGCAAGTGACATCTGATCATATTGCAGAGGTTTATCATAGTATTGGTAGGTTCATTGCAACTGAGGACAGTGGTTTTTCCCTTATCTGTGTATGACTTCTTAGTAATTTTGGTTAGAGTTTAAAATGATAAGTGGATATTACTATTTATAGATATTCTGGTGTGTTTGGTGACTATGGATGCAGAATCCTTTGGACCAGAAGCCTTATCTGAGGTTCAAATCTTGGAAAAGAGGATTCCAACTGCCTTGCCAGCAACTCCAAAACCACAACCAGCCACAACGCCAGGTTATTACATGATTAGTTGTGGTGTCATGTTTTTTAATCAATTATTGGGAATTGCTGTGTTTTTATGTAATTATTGATCATTAATACCTGTATTTGGGGTAAACTGTACTTGCATGTAGGTATTCCGAAGAAGCAAAAACAGTTTCACACTTTATACTGTGCCCCTATTAAAAACCTTTTTTTCTTTTCCACACTACTATTTATCAAACTTGATGATTGTTTTGGATTTTGATCATAAACCATGGTAATCAGGGCACCAATAGCAAAGATGATCATATATTTTTTTTGTGTACTTAAGTATTTTTCCTAACAATGCTGGAAATCATCCAGAAAAACAAGTCACTCGAGAGAGAATCTTTGCTTAAATGAGGATAGAATTTAGTGTGCAGTCTATCTGACACATGTTGTGTTTTATAATATAAGGTGTGACAGACTTTCCCACCAGGATATCGCACAAAAAGACTAAAACTCAGAATTTTAAGGAATGAATATTTGTTTTTATTCCAGTTGCTCCACCACAACCAAGGGAACCAGTTCAACCACACCAAGCCCCACCTTCCAGTCCATCCCCTGGTCCAGTGACCAGTCCCTCTCCTTCACCAGCCCCCATCAAGACAACAGGAAGTGAAATTGACCCAGAAACTTTTACGTACAACTGGTAGGTCCACTGAGCCACTAACCTCTTGTTTGGTATGCCACTTTTAGCAGGAAGTAGATTATACTCTTAGAATCCCAAAGGTCAGTTTAGAAATTATACAAAGATGTAAAGAGGAAATTGTTTACCTGGTTCTGGTTTGCCTATCAGTGCCCTCCATTATTTTAAGCACAACAGGGTAACTAAATCATCAGTTACATAAAACAATCCTTTTCCCGTTTGAAGTTTCAAGAATTTCAGTTGATGACAGTACAAGTAGTTGCCACTGAAATCTTTCAGAACTGCCCCTCTCTATTTTGACTGTGTCAGAGTCAGATTTCTACATAGTTTTTACAATGAAATATTTGTATCTGTGTTAGTTAACTTCAAATGATTGTTTATAATTTGCTTTTATTACAGGCTGCAGGGGACTTATGAACATTCACCTGGAAATTCTGTTTCTCGCATTGACATATATGCAGACTACCTATCATCTTGTAGCAGACTGGCTAGAGTAGGAATTCTTAATGCAACAGCATTTAATCGCATCATCAAGTAAGTGACGAGTTGTGTTGTTTTGAGTGGTCTGATGGATTTTTGAGTCAAAGCTTTGGCATGAAACCTTCTACTCCTAGGAGTGACCAAAAAGTGATTTACTTTGAATATCTATATATTTTCAACCAGAAAAATGAGAAGTAAGAAAAAGGTCAACTAAGAGATATAATTTTATTTCAAAACAAATTTTCAGATTCAAACAAGACTTCTGGAATTTTACTGCGGTCAGAGTGGAGAATCTGTATTAAAATCTTGTGTTCGTGGGCAACAGGTTTAACTCCCATTGTCCCTCTTTCCACCAAGGAGGATGAATAGATACTAGTGGACTGTCAGAGAATGTGGATGAATTACTGGGAGTTGCCCGATTTTTACTAGCATCCTATTTAGGAGGAGCAGTTATATTCTCTGTGACTTTAAGCCAATGAAACAAGAATAAGCCTCAGCAGTAAGACCTGCCTTCCCTTGAAAAAAAAATCTTTTTGAATATTTCAGTCACACGGCTTCTTTAATTTTTTGCAGGTTGGCTTTCCCCGACGGTCAACTTCGAAGGGTGCAGTCTGGGGTAAATGTCCAATACGTCCTAGCAGGGTTAAAACGAAGAGCTAACCCACTTCCAGTTAAAAGCCGAACAGATTCACCAGCACCTCAACATGTTGCGAGCCCTCACGTAGCACCTCAGCAGCAAGGACAGAGGATGTCCCCTGCTCAGCAGGCCATTAGTAGAACTCCCACCCCTCCTGTTCAGAATCAAATGTCTCCAGGCTGGAATCCACCTAAACAGCAAAACATAGCAGTTGCACAGCAAACACCCCCTTCATCAATGCCGAGGCACTATGAGAAGAGGTCCACACCACAGGTTTCTGTTAGCAATCAACCACAGATGCCTGGAATGAGCCAACTTCCAAGAAGACTTAGCACACCTGGTCAAGGAGCCATTCAGGCAACCGTAGATCAGGTTCGTGTATGATCATGTCAAGGAAGGAAATAGGGCACAAATTCATCTGTGAAAAGAAGTTCTGTCTTAATAATTGGACAATGGCGTAAGAGTTGGCCTTAATGTATGTTATTATATGGCTGTGTCTCACAAGGACTGGGAACCACCGAATTCACGAATTTGATTGGCTGAAATCAATATTGAAAGCGGTCTAGATTTTCCCATCTAGACCGGCATTTAGACTGTTCTAGAATAAAAGGGTACAAAGAATATAAAAAATTGGCATAATAATAATAATAATAATATACGTTAATTGAGGCTCCCCCATGGGGGCTTTTCAGCCACAATGTACTTTTAACTAAGTGCTTAAAAATTCCCACTGGCAGGAGGCGACCAGTGAGCTATTTACAGAGCGCAGCCAAGGAGTTGAACTAGGGGCAACCAAGAACAAATCCAGTGAGTGGCAGGGTGGAGGACTTGAACCCGGGCCACCGGATTTCAAGTCCAGCACCCTAACCACTCGGCCACGCCGCCTCCACTTGGCATATAAGACACAACCATATAATAAACATCTTATTAACCGAGCTAGGTCAGTCTGTATGGGAGAATCTTGACCTCGGGCGCTGGTACAGACCTCACTGCGTACGGTCTGAACTGGTGACCTCGGTAAAGATTCTTCCATACAGACCTCACGCTCGGTTAATAAGAACTAAGTATGAATTTATTTATACTATCTGAGTTGTCCGCTGAAACACCGAACCTTTTGTTAATGATCTTTCATTGTGAAAAAAAAATAGAAAGTTCACTGAAAACCTCTGTCAAGTTGGTGATAGTGGTCTCCCATTTATATATCTCTAAATTCGGTAGTTCATAAGTTACGGAAGGTTCACTCAATTCACTGTATTTACGTATTGATTAATTTCGTCGCTGTTTTGGTTTTTTTCGTAGGGAGTAAGACAATTTACCACACCAGCTCTGCAACAGCAAAATCTCCAAAATGTAGCCAATCAACGGCACATGATTGGAGGGCAAATACAAAGGAGTCTTGGTCCAACTGATAAGGCTCAGACTCTTGAAAGAGTAGCAGCCATGCGAAGAGCAAGCGTGGAAGGATCTAATGCTCTGCAGGCACAGAATCCACAAGTCTTGCAACATCATACACAGGGACAGATCATGCAGAGAATGCCCATATCTCCTCAAAGTCCAGGCCCACCTAGAGGAGATCAACAGCAAATGGCTCACAGCATGCCATCAACTGTGCAAGCTTCTCCAGCTCAATCCATCCGTGCTGTTGTACCTCGCAGTCCTGTTTCTCCACAGATGCCACTTGTGAGATCTCCTCTTCCGACAACAAGGCCTACACAGCCACTTACGTCACAACCAACTCAGACGCCACCTTCAGTAGGCTTCATGCAAAGACCTGTTACAGCAGCAGAACCATCCTCATATCGACCAACAGCCGCCTACCGGCAGCCAGCACCTGCTTTTCCTCAGCAGCAAAGTATACGACCAGCGCCACCTGCTTACAGTGGACGGCCTCTTTATCATGGAGCTTACCCTCCTCTTGCTCCTAAGCCTGCACCAGGAGTCAATGTCCAATTTTCTCAAGAAAACCAGCTGAGGAAGCAAGTCTCCTCTAGCACTGCTGTCAGCGGGAGCCATCCTGGAACTCCACAGGTGCCAAGACCTTCCTTCCCAAGGGGAGATGTTGCCACAAGACAGACTTTTCCTCCCCATGTGCCTGTTGTCAATACACCACCCTCGCCTGTCTTGCCCCCTTCCTCAAGGAGTGGACAGCCATTCAGGAGTTCTCAACCAGACTTATCTGGTGTACACAGTGGACGAAAGATCAGGCCTGGGCCAGTGAAGGAGAGCAGGCAACAGTTTCCTGGGTAATTGTCTTGTGTATTTGTAATTGTAATTATGACATTTAAAAAGCATGTTCATGTTCATGCCCAACCTGCATTTTTGTAGTTTTGGATTTGTGTGGAATGTTATGAAAGCGCAAAAGAACTATGGCTTGATGATCGCTATCCAAACACCCGAAATGCATTCAGAGCTCGCACTTGAAATTACGTTGCAAAATCCCGGAGAACCGTCGTCGGAATATTTTTTGGGACGAGGCTGACAGTGTAACTTTGTGATTGTTCTCTTTTTCTCGCAGGATTCGACAGGAAGGTGTTGTCCTCATAGCACAAGAAGAGAGGGCAGCAGATGTCGTCTCTACAGGCCTTTTAGAAGGCGCAGCGGAACAAAAAATTGTTGTCATTGAAAACAAAAATAGAACAGATATCATCTCAAATAGTTCTCTGTCTACAGCGCATGCTATTACTGCCCATGAACAGTTAAAATTGTCGTCTCGTAACACGGCAGTTAATACCGGAAGTGAAATTTGCGGATCGAACATCGATGAACAGTTTGAGCAGTCGCTAGAGAGAGTGCCGTTGAATCTGGGCGGAAAAAACTCTCTTCAAAGTCTACCCAAGTCAACGCTGTACCCTTCCAGTAACGGTTCTTTGAAAAGAGACTTGAATACGCATACAACCCATGGGAGTAGAACTTCTGCTTCAAACGAAGAAAACCTGAACGGCCAGCGAGACAATGTCAACGATGAGTTTGGACAAGTAAAGAGGCCAAGATTGGACAGTCGAATGTCCTCCCTTGAAAATGAATTAGACAGTTCTTCTTCGATACCATCTAGAACTGGAAGTCCGACCCCTCTTGTAAATGGTGAGATCAAGGGGGATCCAAGGAACAAATTAATGGATAAACTCTTAGACAAGGATTTGCATTTGCCTCTTAATGGTGTTTGTGGAATCGATTCGTCCGATATAGACCTACTTGCTTCCGACGGAGAAAGACTCAGTAGTAGTAAGGCGTCATCACCAGATCTCTTTGGAAGCGAAACCAATTCGGATTTTGGTAAATATTTGGAGGAGAGCGATACAGATACGGGCTTGTTTAGTGATGTTCTGCAAGGAGATTTAAGGATTGATCCGATGGAGAATGGAACTGAAGGAACTCACCAAGCGTCATCAAAGATGCCAAGCTTTCCCGTGGGAACCTACAATGAAGGTGGCATTCCTGCTGGAGTTACGCATCAACAAGGCAAGGTTCCTATTCCTCCAACAGTGAGACCAGACCCCGTTCCTGTTCAGTACAATGCTACGGTCAATAGGACGCCACTTGCAGGAAATTCACCTTGGAATTCAACAAACAATGTGAATCTTGAGTCGAACGCCGGCTTTAGTCTTCCTTCAGCGTCTGTCAATACACAAAAGGCTACATTTCCACATCAAAATAATCAGCCGAATTCTCAGCAAATTATTGTAGCTCGTGACTCTTCATCCGTTCAGCCTTCTACGACGACGACGACGAAAAGTATATTGCCTAGACCTCAGGGGCCAGATATTGTCAATAGCAAAGCTTCGGTCTCTCTTGGATTAGGTATTCAACAGCCTTTGATGACTTCTTCTTTTCACGGAGGGCAGCAAATGGCTCCCGGTCAAACAACCTTACCACGCAGAGGAATGCCACCTGGCTGGGCCCCAAGTGGAGTTCAACAGCAGCAATTGCCGATAGCACCACATGCTGCTCGCAGGGTTCCACCTGGGTCACAGACTCCTGCTCCCATTGGATTTCAGGTAGCCTCGCCAGTTGGTGCACCCCTGGAGCCCCAAGGTGCTACTGTGCCTCCAGGGTCTCTGACCATGGGTTTATCACCTGGTTGGCAGCCTCAATTACAACAACAGCAAAAATCTGTAAATGTTCATCCGGATGTGAGGACTCAAAGTGTGGCCACGCCTGGGACAAGCAATTACGAGGCTGCATCTACGACTCAAAATAGGCCACCAACTAGCCCCATGCAGTCTCAGCACCATGCCATGCCACCAGCTGGGAAGAACGTGGTTCAAAACCCAGTTGGGTCCAAGTTAGTTAGTCCGACTGCTCCTCAGGAATTTGTACCCACTCCTCCTCCGCGTGTTAGCCAAGTCGAGTTTTCAGTGCCTCAGATGGTGTCTTTCAAACCTTTCAGATGTCGGTGGACAACTTGTTATAGGTCTGTTGTATTTTTTTTTTTTTTTTTTTTTTTTTTTGACTGAACTAAATTGACTCGTTTCTTTGATTGGTTGGGATACAAATTGTCAAAAACAGTGTATTCAACGAACAGTACATAATCAACATCGCAATTACTCACCAACAGCGCTTACTTCACCGCCAAAGAATATCGTTTTAGTCGAAGGAATGTCGTAATTACTACTTTAGGGTGCTATGTTGTTCAGCCGCTCCTTCTGTTGATTAAAGGTGAAATATCTTCACGAACCAAAAGCAGATTTTACCACAGAAATTGTAACTTGTTCTGTTTTTCCTTTTATTGTTTACAGCTCGTTTGACACTAGCAAAGAGTTATTTGCACACGTGGTCAGTGAACATGTCCCTCGTGACAGCCTGGTCATGTCGTGTATGTGGGAAGGTTGCCCACTAGTGCGCCGCTCACGTTCGTCTCTTTTATTTCACCTTCAGGTAAGTTTTCCTTGATAAGAAAAAATAGCCTGTCACTCTTAACAAGGAATAATTCAACGAACATGACGAGTTAGTTTTTTATTTTTTCTCTAACTTGTGGATTTATTCAAAAAAGTGATAATTTAAAAGAAATGTTCTTCCCGTTACATTTCGGATTTGGCTGTCATTCTCTTAAAGGTTGATGTTATATTTTTTTTCTTTTTTTTTTCAAAAGTGATGCTTTTACTCTCTTGTGTTTATTAGAATTTCAAGAGACTACTAAATATAAACCAGGTTGCCTATTATGGACTTTCTGGTGCCAGTTGTGTAGATATCTATTCTCCACTCGTTTCGCAACAACGTCAAAAATTGTCACAGCTAACCTTCGAACGTTGTGTCTCCCCAGCAAAAACACAGTGAGGCGTCGCCAGCGCCCAGTGCTCTTCCGCCTCAACCAACCCAACACCAGTCTCCTCCTGTGCAACCTCCTCCACAACCTCAGCCTAATCCTCAGCCTCCCCCGCCAACCACTCCGTCCACGTCATTTGTTCCAGCATATCACTTCCTAGCTCGCATGTTGCAATCGTTACAGGTTAGAGATATTTGAAGTCTAAGGCAGTGGTTCAAGGTGTTATAATGGGAATAAGGAGTTGAAAGCATACGGTCTAAGCGTATGAGCAAAGTAGTTTGATCATCGTATTTGGAGGACTTGTATTCCGGTAGTTGCAGGATAAGGGATTCTTGGGTGCGTCCAGCTCAATTCAATTTTTCTTATACAGCTTTTAAATGATTAGGCACGGCACGGAGAACACATTTGGTAGTTAAAAGAACGGTTCGTGACCTGTAATAGTGATTAACGTCAAATGATGTATCAAGCTTTTAAATCGTCTAAGTAATGTTTCCTTGTAGACCATCCTTGCCAGAAGAAAACAGTCAAGAGTTCATTTTAAGACGTAATGAACTGTAAACTTTTGTGCTTAGTTGTTTTTTTCTATTTTTATTGTCTCCTTGAAATTTTATTTGAATGGTTAAATCACTAGGGTGAAGAGGAATCGCCGTTGACGAAGTCAGTACGGTTGACTGCAGCCCTTGTTCTCAGAAACGTGGCGCAGTACTCGGCTTTAGCCAGAAGGTAAGCCTTGTCAAGTGCTTGGCATACTGCTCCTCCCCAGATTATTACTTAAATGAGTAGTTCCTCTTCAGGCGTTAGAAGATGGGACAAGCGAGCGCTGCCGTCAAGAAGAATTTGATGAAAAAGTAACAGCAACAACCAAAATTGCAACTTCCAGTTGTTATCCCGCTAACTTATATGTACTTTTCATTGTCGATAGATTTACAGTGTACTGTTAAATTCTGTGTCCGTCCGTCCACATTCTGTCTCTGTATGTTTTTGTCTGTCTGACCGTCTGTCTCTCACGGATGCAAGTTAAGTAAATTGTTGTTTTTATTACGTTACAGCTTATTAAGACGTCACGAAAGTCGCCTGTCACTTATAGCCATGTCCAACTCAGAAGCTGCTAATGCTATTGCGGCGTGTCTCTCTGAATTATCTCCACATAGGAAGGCTTCGTCAGAAGACTCTGGTGCCTTTTTTTGGGCACCTAACAGATAATACAAACTTATTGAAAGCGGGGTAATCATTCAGATGACTGTGCCTCTTTTGCCATCAAATCTGTCGCTTTTTAAAGACGAAATCACTAGATTCTAACACTAGACACAGCTTTCTTTGGTAATCATACTCTTGAGAAGATGGCAGAAGTCACACTGTTCCATCAGAACTCGTGAAAGCTTTTCTTTTTTGTTGCCTAGGTTTCACATGCAGCCTCGATTATTATTAAGACATGTAGGCTAGAGGTGGTGAAAAGCGTTGTTGTGATAGGAACATTCAACGTAACGTTAATAAACAAATATTTCGTTTGTAGTTATTGTATAGAGAGAGAACATTATTGGAACAGAATATTCAAAGTAGCTGTTCATACCTGATTAAGTAATATAATTATTTGTACAGTTCTTTTATGACATTCGCTTCTCCGTTATGTCAGCTTTTCTCCAAAACCAAAAACGCTTTCCATGCATTGAAATCGATGAAGAAAGCAAAATATTAAGCTCGGTACTATACTTTTTATTCGGAATGTTGAGTTATTATGATATTAAATCTTCAATTATGAACTGAATCTATTTTCATTCACACATTTTGAATGATTTCTTCCTAAGATGTATTACTGATAGATCTTTTTCTAAGGCATACTGTGTTTAATGCTTTTTTCTCTTCTTTGTTATCCATCCATGTCTGTAAATAATCATTTTGCATTATTTATACTTGATGATAAGTTGTACATAGAGTACAAGTATGCTTCGTTTGGACTGTGAAGATACCGGTAAGCGTTGGATTACTGTAGCTTAAACTATTTATAGTGCTAGAATCCACGCGGTATCCGTTTTTCTACATTGTTCATGACTTTGCAATGGAAAAAAAAAAAACTTATCACTTCTTCTTTGATCAATAAAATTTTTGTATCACCGTAATTTGTGGCCTTGATAGATCATTGTAGTTTTATGTTATGAAAAAACAGAGAAACAAACCCTAATTGAGTTGAGCAGGAGACAATGGGGAAGCATACCGAGCATCCAAAACAGCGTCGTGCGAGGGTAATAGTCTGGTCAAATTGTCACTGTGTTCTGCTTGTAATACTAAGCGATTTTTTAAACTACCTTAGTCGCCAGGCCATCTGTCGGAGTAAATGCTGATCACGGTACTTGTTTGGATTTTAATTCCTCTTATTCTCAAATCAAAGGGGATGAACGTCAACCTTCGGAGATCAACCGTTTAAGGCACGCTATTATGAATCCTATTCCAATCCTAACCCAGGGACCCCACCCCCGCCTTTACCCCGACCACCAGACAAGGAAGAACATGCTCTTATGAGTTTGGCTTGCTTGTTTTAAATTGGTTCTATGGTTACACAATTAGACTTTTGGTTATGAAGTGGAAAATGATTATGCTGAAAACTTTAGAAATGAAGCCAGGAATCGTCAGATGAACACAAAAGGGGGCTTTTGGTGAGAAATTTGCGTTTTTGCTCGGAACTAAAATTGCTTCGATACCTCCTGCAAGATTCTCGCATAGTGCAAGAGTGTTTTTATATCTGAAGCCATTCTTAATTTGTGGTATTCTCTAAGTAGAGATGCGAGACAAGCGCAGAAGGATCTCTCTATCTTGAAGGGGTTTCTCGTTCGGACGGGTTGATTACTATCATAAACCGAGAGAAAACTAGGGACAAGGAAAATTTTGATTACTATGGTATATGGGGCGCCAACCCAGTCAATATTCCCTCTGTATTTCTGTGGCCCAGTTTACTTTAACACGGTCAACTCGACTTTTTATATGGCCAACTCGACTTTTTATATGGTCAACTTGACTTTTTACATGCTCAACTTTTTACTTTTTGTATGGCCAACTCAACTTTTTATATGATCAACTTGACTTTTTACATGCTTAACTTTTGACTTTTTGTATGGCCAACTCGACTTTTTCTATGGTAAACTTGACTTTTTACATGCTCAACTTTTGACTTTTTCTATGTTCAACTCGACTTTTTATAGGGTCAACTTGACTTTGTAATCTCCACAATGCATTGCGTTAGGACTCTAACAAAATGACAGACAATAACGAAGACTTGCAGTATATCTCCTCGGCGTGTGCCATAGCTAAGCAGGCCCTCGAAGCCATCGGCAATCTACAGAATAATGACATTCGAAATGTGGCAGCGTTCACAGCTACCAACATTGGTTCGACTTCCTCTGTTCATCAAGCCCTTCGATTGCAGCAGAGCTCGCTCGTCGATTTCTAACTTACAGCGCACGTGGGGTCACCGGGTTCTGTCCTGGTGTACCGGTTCACAAGGGAATTACCATTGTTCTTTCTTTGTTTAGGAGTTATCGGTTAGCTATTGTGTATTGTTTGGTCTTTTGTATTGGCTCTTGTGAACCGGTACACGAGGACAGAACCGGTCACCGCAACTAGAAAACGAACTTCAGCGAGTGCTTTTATGAGTTCCAAGTCACGAGGAAACAAGACTGGGCGTCCCAGTAAGACAATTTTCCACAAAGACCTGGTAATAATTCTAAACCCTAATGCAAACCAAGTACCAAGTCACGTCAACAGAGTGAAGCTCGAAGAGAGGGGCTTGATTATCCACCAGCTTCCTTTTAATAGAGACTGGTCTTACTTAGACTTGAAAAGAAATACTGAAAGTCAACTTTCAAGAGAGGATAATATGTTTGAATACCTCAAGGTAATTTTTTGGTTTTTCTCCTGCTCGGTGAGATAAAGAACTAATAGTGAAACTAAGTATATTAATTTAGGAAGTACATTAAGTTGTAAGGCAGACTCCAAGAAGAACTCCTACACTGTAGATAAGGTCTAGTTCTAAGTGGCTAACTCAGTCGTGCATTCTTTGAAAGGTGTTTATGAGAACTTGCTTCATTCTTGTGATTGTAACTGTATTTTTTTATAGGCTTGTTATGGAACTCTAGTAACGCCAAAACTAGCAAAGGGAGTTAGAATGGATGGTGAGAGAATAATAAAACTCTCAGGTCAAGGGACTGTGTATATCAGATGTCTGGAGCCCTTTGAAGAGATAGATAGGGATGAAGATGATGAAGAGGTTATGATACCATCATTTACTCAATTCACTGGTGACCTCTCAGAAAACCTCGTTGATGGAAGTTCCTCATCATTGCAACATCAAAACAGTGAAGCTGTATCCACAGACCCCGGGGAACTACTTATGACTGAAGATCCAATGCCTTACTTGCCAGAAATGGAGAAGAATGAGTCAGTTAATAATTATGAAGTTGTAGTTGATGTTAATGAAATATTTCCACCAACTTCACCATCAAATAATGGTGAAGTGCCAACTAAAGTCATCAGAGTTCACAGGTCAAATGTAAGAGCTGATATGCTTGACATCTTTTCAGATCCTTTCATTTTTAAGTCCAGTTTAAATGCCATCATAATAAATCAGCTTGGCCATGAAGAGGCTGGTCAGGGAAATGGGGTCCTAAGGGAAGCTTTTGCCCTCTTTTGGAAAGAATTCTACGAGTCCCACATGCTGGGGGAGACTGAAAGAGTCCCTTATATTAGGCAGGATTTTGACCGCAATAAGTGGGAAGCAGTGGGGAGGATACTTGGTAAGAGATATACTGAGAGTCAATATTTTCCCTTTAAATTAAGCAAAGCCTTTCTTGCTGGTTGTATTTTTGGTGAGCGGAGCATTACCCCTGAAATGTTGCAAGATTCCTTCAAATGTTATGTTTCTCCATCTGCAACTAGTCTTATAGAAGGCTGCTTGGCCAATAGTATTGCATGTGACAGTGATGAGATGCTTGACTTTTTGTCAGCATTTGACTGTAAGAGAAAAGTCACACACAGTAACTTTGTAGAAATCATGAGAGAAGTTGCTCATAAGGAAATAGTGCAAAAACCCAAATATGTAAGTGATTGCTGGCAACCAATTCTTGCCCACCTCAAGATTTATTTTTCAGATGTGAAATCTTTACATCAATTCTATTCTTCAATTATGCCAAGTAATGTGAAAGTTATTGGCCCACTTGAAGCCAGTCCAGCTACAGCAGCTGAGACAGAAACACTGGCCCACCTCGAGAGATTTATTAGAGGGCTTGACCAAGCTAAGCTTACCTCATTTTTGAGGTTAACAACTGCATCTGATGTTCTTGTCACTGACAGGTTGACAATATCATTCACCCAGAGCGAAGGTCTACAGAGAAGGCCTATTGCCCACACCTGTAGCTACACCTTAGAGGTGCCCAGCACATATGCTAGCTTTTGTGAGCTCAGAGAAGAATTCATGGCCATTTTAAATTCAGGTAGTTGGGAGATGAACATAGTGTGAGCAAATAGCATAAATGTGTACCAAAAAGTGGTCTCACCATGTATAGCTTACTCAACTTCATTTGTTCTCAGACTGTTCAGTTTCAATGTAATTTTACGTTGAGTTGAGTCTACAAGATTGGTTTGCTTACTTACAACTGAACACACTCATTTTATCTTGTTATCAAGGCTTCTTAGCATGAATTTCGTAAAAAAAAAAGACATAGATGGAAATTATGTTAGGGTTGTTTTGTTGGGTTTAAAACATGTTATATTGTTAGATTTATCAAACATACAATGAGTTCCATAAGTATTTAAAGTTCTCTTTCAAAAACATAAAGTGCAATGAAAAGCATTGTGTTTTGTGCATTTTGTAGCTTGTAGTAGTGATTTCTTATACAAAATACAAGTTTGCAACTACTGTCAGTTCAGTTGATATGTATCCTGTGAAAGCAAAGAATACAAAATTCTTAAACAATCTAAGTATGTATTTTCACCACTTCTGTCATTTTCTTGTAAGGGGTTGCAGTGACATTCTAGGAATGCTATCTGATGACCAGAAAGTGGGACAGTTGTTTCTGGAACTACTACCTGATAATTCTCTTCTTCGTAAGGGACAGGAGCAGAGGGATCAAATCCATAATCATGCATACTACAAGCATAAAACAGGCTTTCAACTGCAGCATATCCAGAGTGTTCATTTTCAAGCATTCCAGCTGTATATAATTGAATAGGAGAAAGATTTCGTCATGAAGATAGTGGATGATTTTCCCACTGACCCTTGAATTCTTGTAAACACTTATTGATTCTGGGAATGTATGTATAATGCAATGCAAATAAATGCAACTCATTTAGTGGATCCAGTAGCTCATTATCCTCCAAGCAAGAAAATGTTCTTGCAAAAAAGCAAAGTACTCCTGAGTGAATATCTCTGTGCAACCTCTCTACACGACAGTTGTGCACAGAGCTACCAGTTATAATGCTACCTCTGTCAACACCTCTCTGCTCTAGCATGAACTCTGCCACTTTGAAAATTTCCATACCATAATCACTTCTCACTCTAGAAGGCAATCCATAACTGTTGACACCTCCAATAAATTGTTCCAGGACTGTATCAGCTTTATTGTTATTGCAGCAGTGGGCATAAATTATAATTCTGGAATACCCGTCAACGCACACGTGAGTTCTTAACCTCCATCGTATGAGTTTGTGGTTGCTGTCAATGTGCCACAGAGCATTTGGCCTGGGAACGTTGTATTCTTCTGTAAATTGCAGATTGCCACCGTAAAAGTGTCCCAACAGGATCGAGAGTTTGAAGACAATTTCTCCCCACACCATCGTGGAATATTTAGCCCCCTGCTTCTCAGAGCACCAACCAGTTGGGCCTGTCCAATATTTGGAGTTAGTTCTTGAATTTCTTTCACTATGTTTTCCAAATCAGAATCTGATATCTGAGTCCAACTTGACTCTTCTTGGTCAGTCATGCCATACATTAATCTCCTCCTCCAGAGGGTACTCTCGCTCACACCAAGTAAATCAGATATCTTTTTCCAAGAAGAATGCGTTTCTCTGAAAAAGCGTATCTGTTCTTCCTCAATGAGATAAGGTGGGCGCCCAGGACCGTTCCTTCTTG